GGCACAAATGAAAGTGGTGCCTAACTGTGCCAAGGCAAGGTGGAATAGTCTCCCAAAAGTCCTTCCAGAAAAGTCTGTCAGATATTCTAGGCCTGAAGGCTGAAGAAGGATGCCCCAATGTTACAGAGGAACTTTGGGTGTTGAAGCAGTCAGCTGTTTGTGATTTCTCACATTTTTAGAAGTTGCTTGCTTGTACTTCCTGTGTTTGCAGGTAATATTATTTCCTTCTCGGGTCTCTGACAGAGCTAAAGACTTCCCTGTTATAGTTTTCCTTGTTACCAAATTTGGAAAAGAAACTCACAAAAGAGGTGTAAATTGTATAAGGTTGAGAGACATAAAAAGATAGCTTTGTGTTAGTAATGTAAGAAGTGAATTAGGTACAAAACTTTGGACTCACCAAGATCAATAATGAAGTATTTTCTCTAAATTTGCCTAATGCAAATGGACTAGATGTTGTTAATGTAATTCTTCCCTGCATATATTTGTATATAGGTATTGTACTTATTATATATAGCTTTTCTATGTTAGTAAAACCTTTGCTTTTTATTTAGACAAAAAGGTGAAATATTGTATGATAGTTTTATTTTGTTCTGACAAATAAAGCTTGCTTGGAGTTAGAGGGCAAAGCCAGCCACTAGCTGACCTAAATTAACCATAGAGAGTTGGGGGACTGTAGACAGAGAGGAGACAAGAAGTAGGAAGGCAGGGGAGAGAGATGACCTTAGCCCTGTAGGACAGGAATGGTAGATGGAGGAGGCAACTGGTTGCTACTCCCAGTTTCTTTGATCATTTAGGCTCTTACCCTATACCCGAGTCCCGATTTTTTATAAAGATGAATTAGACTAACACCTCAATACATGTCTGTTTAAACACAGAGACGAAGCAGGACATGGAAAAATCAAATTGTAGTACAGGTCTGACAACCTTGGCCAATTCAATGATTCATTTATATCTTGATTTTTAGAGTAAGAACGTCCCAGCAGCATTCTATGTTGCATGAAAATACCAATGCTTTGTACACTTTTCTTTGTCCACTGTTGCACGCAGGGCATCAAGAACACCATGTCCTTGGGTAAAGTGCTTCTCAACGGAGAACTCACTGAGGGAATTAATATCTGAGACTTGTCTGCCATCCCCAGAGCTAAGAGTAAACACATCTATAAAGGGCAAGCTGTGTGAGGTATCCCCAGGTCTACCTTAGTCTCTAAGAATTTAAAAAGCATGGTAACTAGTGAGTACCAAATATTTGATACCACATCTCAAAAATCCACCAACCAGTAGATTTCTAACCATCCTTTCAATCCAATGGGTCAGAACCAAGTTTGTATTGTTCTCAAAATAGCATTTTGGCCACTGCTCTGTAGGATCTGAATTCAACACGTTAAGGGCAGGATCTAGGAATTGTTCATTTTCTAACATGTACTCAGGCCGATTGTAAAGAGTAGTCGTGTGTACATGCTACTGCTAGCAATAGCATTAGTGAGGAAAGCACATATGTTAGAATGACAATTTTTTTAGATGTGCAGTGGTGCTTCTTGTAGAGGCTACGAAATATTATTTGGGTGAGGGTCAAAAAAGTTAGGGCTAACACTATTGCATCTAAGTTTGTGACACCTGGAGGAAATACTACAGAAAATAAAGTTGCTTTATGATTTACGAAAGTAACTGAGTCAACAAGAGAGTGGGATAATTTGCTGTGCGAGCAGCTCCTGGGGTGTTGTGAAGATCATTTGCATTTTGCCAATTCTCTCTTACTTTTTGTCATTCAACATAAAACCAGAAGTCTGTGTTTTAAAGTTTGTGTTTCAAAAGCTGTTCCAATTATACAAAGAATCACTTCTAAGAATGCAGCAAACTCTTAAACTGTGTGCATTGACATGGAAATTTACAATTTTCAGATTAAATGGTACATGATTATGGTGCAATGGTTTGAGATAAAAAGCCTAGCTACTGGAAAAGTTATAAGCACAAAGCAATACAGACTGCCACTGAGCAATGCGTTTCTGAATCTGGTTTCTTTCAATTCTTTACTAGAATAAAAACAAGAGTGAGATTCTATGGCAAAGTCTTGACTAATATTGCTTTTAGTACTGCCATTTGTGAAGAGATAAAGATCCAAATGCACTGATAAACTATCAAAACAGACATCACTTAAAATCCATTAGGTGTTTTGTAAGATTTTTTTTTTCAAGTTTTATCTATTAAGTATAGACTCCTTTATATGGAAAAAAAGTAATCCCTAGACTCGGAAGATGGCTCAGCCAGTAAAATACTTGCTGCATAAGAATGAGGATCTGAGTTCAGATTCCCAGAAACCACATACAAGGCCAGATAGGGTGGTATCTGTCTGTAATCCCAGTGCTGGGGAGTGAGTGAGAGATAGATGGAATCTGGAATTCATTGCCAGTTTGCTCTAGTCAAATTGATGAGCTTCTGGTTCAGTGAGAAACACTGTGGAAGAACAAAAGGTGGAGAATGACTGAGATAGAAACCTGACCCATGAACATAGTCAGGAGACTGCACACAGCATGTCCACGCATTTACATGAACATTCACATACACCACACACACACACCAAAAGCAGGAGGAGGGAGAGGAGTAGGGTGGAGAACAATCAGAAGAGTAGAGAATTATGAAGGTCTGCTCGTGACAGCCTTTATTTACTTCTGGTTTGTCTGATATCTTGAGCTTTAGGATGGATGACTAAAGGTTTTTCTTTTAAACCTCCCAGGTCATTTTAGAAGGACAATGATTCTTGCTTCAACTGTCTCAGGAATTCTGGGTAAAGAAAAGGAATGAGTTGTATAAAATGCACCATAAAAAGGGTGCCTCCTTGGTCAGCAGTTCAGCTTCTAAGAGCTTTGTAGACTGTATTCCCTGGTGTGCTTGGGGTACATGGATACTTCTTGGCTAAGTTTCTTAAATCTAGGAGCAGTTTGTTCATTCATACTTGTATCTTCAGACATGGGGACTTATCTGTTTGGGTCAATGAATACACAACTGACTACAATAACTGTCGTTTGACCTTGGATGGATATCACCAACCTCTGAGGGAAAATTTCCCTCAAAGACTACAAATGCACTGTTGATACAAACAAAGCCTTTTCATTTGGAATTATAAAAGTTCCTGTTGTTAAAAGTTAGTGATTAAGTGTGGGCTGGGACCCTACAGCCTCCCAGCTATCTAATTTAGAACTTTTCCATTTCTTACTTTACTGCTTAATCTAGACAACAATCACATACCAAAAATGGAAGTTTCCTTTAATTGGTATTCACAATCTCATTTTGCTTAGAACTTTAATATTTTAAAAGAACACATAGCCAGTACTAATGGTGATTGTGTTCCATTGATAGACAACTACAGACTGAAGAACGAGGCCCTGTCCTCCTCTGCTGCTGAAGAGCATCCTGTCACTCATTCTCTCCATACCCTCAGAGAAGTCTTCACTGTGTTCATGTCAGTGAGCATTCTCATCTTACCGTGTCATGGTGGGGGTGGGGGTGAGGGAGTTCTAAGATATACTGCACAGAAGTACTATAATCACAAGTTATGAAAAGGGGGCATGTATGCTTGCTATAGGTACTTTTAGCATGAATTTTCCAACCCTAATTTGATCAAAATCTAAACCTAAAGGCAGGAACAATTTAGATTTCTTTCAAGTTTAATTGTTCACTTTGAGAAAAACCTCAAGGTCTTGTAAGAATGGTAGCAGGGCGGAAGGAGAAGCAGGGACCCAGCTGCTTTGCACATCAGAGAGCCTGAAAGTGAAGAGCAGATTGGATGAGAAGCAAAACCACAGCACAGAGTCTCTGTTCACTTGCTCTCACAGAATCACTCAGAATCTTCATACTGTCCTCTCCCAGCAGTTGTCCTGATTTTCCCGCTAAGATACTGCTAGGGCAGAGAATACCATCCAGATCTGGAGATCCCTAGGGAGGAAGAGGAGCCTTCTGCTTGAGGAGTCTGCCCCTGCCTGATAGGTGCTGAGAATGAAGACACCGCCTGCCATGTTTGGGATTCCAGGGTTGTTTAGCAAACTCTTAATCCTCCATGTGGGCTTCTGGAGCATCCTTGGTAAGGCATCTCCTAAGAGGACTTTTTGTTTTCTTCCTCAGTGTTCATGTCGGTGACGGTTTTCCTTGTTGAGCTTCCTTGGGGGAGAGGGATGTTTGTGTCCAGCGTGTAGCTCAGTAGTTACCTTTGCTTCCTGAAAATGCTAGAGGGTGCAAGTGAACTTAGAATATGGGATCCACCTGCCTACAGAGCAAACACGGAATCCTTAGCTTGGCCAAGTTTCCTGGAAACCTGTCCTGATGGTAAGCAAAGATATTTTAGCAGACGTTATAAATGCTTAAATTTGTCACAAATTTGTCACCATTGCTCATGAAATCTCTCTGGCTGTTGTACTAATGGGAAATAAATCTCATGTTCTCTCCACATGGATGTCAGCAGGAAATCGTAATGCTTAATTGGGTGGGAAAGGTGTTGGATATTTGAGTTCATAGCTGTGGCCACAGCTACTCTCAAATAATGTTCAATCTAAATATAATCCCTCCTTGTTTTCGTGAAATGAACTATGAAAACACTGGACAAGCATCATACTGTGAAGTAGAGCAGCGAGCACTGGTGTTGTTTCATTGTTGAACGATGTGACTTGTAAGTGGTTGCCAACTGAACATAGAAAGCGATTCTCCACAGGTGATGCTGGCTCATCCCTACAAAGCCATTTTGATATCAAAACCTGCAGTTCTTCTTTTGCTATCTCTTAACACTTTGCTTCTGCACAGCAACATGCCCTGGAGAAGGGGAAAGCCTGTGGAGTGGTTAGCAGAGATTTCTTGTTCCTCAGTTAATTCTGGGCTCAAGCATATTTTAAGAAATTATCTCCTACCAGAACACAGTATCTTTTTTAAAATAATTTTTTAATGATTTATTTAACTTTCATCTCTCAGCCCCCATCCCTCTTAATGTGGGTGACAGTTGCATGGCTGTGGCAGACTGCGTTTTGAATTATAGAATTATGAAGCTTAGAATTCAACTCTGACATCATCAGACCACCTATCTAGGGGCAGAGTAAAACATCCCCTCAGTCATCCAAGCCCCTACATATTAAAAATCCATCACCTAGCTACAGCTGGAGTCAAATATTAAACTGAGTCTATTTAATTCTAAGGCATAGATTGTAGACTGACCTCAGTGGAACAAAGGAAAATTTTAATTCTGCATCACAATTGGGCTGTCCTCCACATTCCATTCTTCCACCCAGTGTGCTACAACCTTGTATTCATGCACATAAACTTGGTTACAGAAATGGATTCTTTGGTGACTCTGCCACTTACATTATAGACCCAGTTAAGTTTCTTTTCAGTTCTCAGCCCTACTTTCATTTAAAAACATATAATAATTATACCTAAATGATGTGATTTTGTTATGTCTATACTGACTAGCTATGGTAAGCACATGCAATTAAAGCTTGATAAATGTTAATGGTAAGTTTGCTAATAGTTTTTTATTATCAGTACTTTTCACAAAATCCAATTAGATGAAAATTAGGGTTTAACATAAGTACGTTAAGTAGTTCTGGTTTTAAACTTTTCATCATTTTTAAATTGTCAAGCACTATATGTATATGTATGAAGTATGATACAGGCAAATATTTTAGAATGTTTAAATCAAGTGAACTAACTTGTCTATGACCTCACATACCTATTGTTTTAAATCTATCCAGTTATTAATTTTAAAATAATAAGCTGCAGTTACTCTGCTGTGACTGAAACTTTTTTACTTCTGACCAGTTTTGACTTGATGCTCTGTGATCAAGGTTTTCCTAATACTTGTTTCAAAGCTAAAATAGTAAAATATCTTGTATGAAATTTTTAGACCCAAATGTAATGAATCAAAATATATGTAGAAAGTGAAACAGAAAGATTTAGACAAGCATTGTCCAGGTGTCTTATACAGCAGTTGATAAGCTGGATTAGAGTGCTGCTCGGGTTGAATTAATGGGTTAGTGGATTACAGCGTCACTCTGAATTACGAATATAGACTGGATGCTGGTGGTATAACTTAGTGGGTAATGGGTAGAGATGTTTGCTGTCAAACCTGAAAACTTGACTTCAAATTCTGAGATGCACATGATAGAAGGAGAAAACCAACTTCTGCATCCTGAAAGTTATCCTCTGACCTCTATACACACACACATACACACACACACACACACAAACTTGACTTCAAATTCTGAGATGCACATGATAGAAGGAGAAAACCAACTTCTGCATCCTGAAAGTTATCCTCTGACCTCTATACACACACACACATACACACACACACACACACACGGATGCACACACACACTCCTGTGCACATACACACTAAATAAATAAATGCAATAAAAATAAATTTTAAAATAATATAAGCTGAGAAAGGAGCATCTGGTGAGGTTTGAAAGTGAGGCTAAGCGGTAGAGTGTTTGCCTAACTTTGGTGAGGACTTAGGCTCTATCCTCAGCAACCTGCTGTGCCCTACTTCCAAAAGAAGTAAAAAAATAATCTTTGGAAAATGTATTATTCTGGACAAAACTGATGGCAGTTCCAGCTCATAAAACTCTACTAATGACAGAAAGAGCCTTTATATCTTGAAGAATTCCTATGACTACTGAGTGAAGTAGTGTGTTCTCAAACGAATTAAGGATCAGTTAACATTTCCCCAGTTATAGTAACGTAAAATGATCAAGATCTGTGCTTTCTGTGTTTCTCAAAAAGAGAAAAAAATAGAGGAACTCTCCCCAGTTTCAATAACGTCATTTCTCTCCTGATGGAAATAGAGTATAAACACCTGTGTCACATGAGGCTAGGAAGTTCTGAGTGCAGGTTCTCAGAGACTGCTCCATCTTTGAGGGCCTGAACTACTCATTCAGTTGAGACTCAACTGAGGACTTCAACTTGTGTGTGTGCGTGCATGTGCATGTGCGTTGGATGTGTGTGTGTGTGTGTGTGTTTATGTGCGTGCACGTGTGTGTGTGTGTATGTGTGTTTGATCTGGAATAAAGATGGTACAAAATCTTTGATAGATCATTGATTATTGTAATAGAAACAGTCATAAGAAGGCCCAGTAAAGGGATAACATGTACAGCCTGGTTCCTTTGAGAACACAGTGGCTAGAGTCTAGTTGCCTGCTTAGCCTTGGCCGGTGTCTTCTTTCTCTTGAAGGTGAGCATTATGATGCTTCTGTGTAAAGCCACTTTTAAACTGGGTCAGAGCAGTCGTGCTCCAAGTCAGTCTACTATCCCTTGACAATATAGCATTTCCTTACCTCACTATACAATGTTTTCAGTTTTATTTATGTTGTATGTATGGATATATTTGCATCTGCATGTTGTGTGTGCCTATAGAGTCTAGAAAAAGGCATTGGATCCTGGGGATCTTCAGGTACAGTGGTTATGAGCTTCCTGAGATGGATGCTGGGACCTGAACTTGGGACCTCTGGAAGAACATCAAATGCTCTTATCTGCTGAGTTATTTCTCCAGTCCCTCTCTGTCTCATCTTCATGGTTCCAGTATTCCTGTTGAAATGTTCACATGAAATACTGGAAGCAGAGCTGCATCTTCCCCCAAATTCCAAACATCTTTTGTGTATCAAAAGGTATCAAGATACTTATGGAAATACCTAAAAATACTTTTCTATGCTTCAGGATTTCCTGGATTGAGCACAATCAGATTAAGTTATGTGCTGATTGCCTCCTTAAATTGACTCACTAGCATCTTAGGGCTCTTTAAGTTCCTGTTACTTCCTTTACCGCACTATAAAATTGTCCTCTATTGTGTTACTGAAGTTGAAACTATTGCCAAACCTCCACGGGACTTTCCTACTTAACTTTCATTACCTGGATGCTTTGCTGTAACTTGGAGTTTGAACTTGCTGAAAAAAAAAATGTTGAAAAGTATTTGTAATCAGGTTCATAAGATGTGATTGACTTTTTGCTTGCTTTCTTTAACAATCTCTGTTGTGCAGTGATTAAGGTGGGTGTCTAAAAATAGCTTTATCAGTAGACCATGGCTGTTATTGGTTATGAGCAGCAGCTCTAGTCCTCAATTCCTCATCTGACAAAAGAAAATGGTCACGTGTTTCATTGAGGTGCTATGCCAGCTAAGTGCCTTTTTTTTTTTTCCTGGACAAATACCCAGAATGTTGAAGAGCATAAATACTGTGTCAATTTAGTTAAGAGTAATTATTTGTTATTGTTTTCTTTTATTTCAAACTTTAATTAGCTTTATTGTTTTCTTAAGTGGTTGGGAAGTGATATTTCCTTCCAGGCTAGCTCCATGCCATCTGTTACCATCTTTAGTCGTAATGAGCGCTAATACGCTTATCTTTAACGAGTTACTCAGCTTCTCTCACAGTGTCAGTAAGGGGAGGCATTTGTGATTTGTAATTCACTTTTCTCAAGTCCTCAGTTCTCTTACCTTAAAATTACTTAACATCGTATCCCTGTCTTATTGCTCTTGCACTTATGGTTTATGTGCTCATCCCATGATAGGAGTGTCTCATGTGCTTGTGTTTGTGTAATGTAGGGATGCCATTCTTTGTATCCTCAGAGTCTGACAAGACATCCCTGTTAAACATGGATCAGGGAAATGTCTGATGGACCAGGTAGGACAGTCACAAACAAAAACAAGTTTATCTGGTAGGTCTCCCTAACACCATTTCCTCTTCCCTAACTGCCACGCTCATCCAACAAACAGCCTGGAATTCATACCTATCACAAATAGTCCATGGTTCAGAAAACATTGTCAGGAGAATCATTCAAATTTTAGCTGGGTGGTCATGGCTCGTTTCATTTCCTTCTGTAATATTAGAAAAGGAAATAAACTCTGGGGAGCAATTGGCAGTTTTGTTTTGTTTTGTTTTCCCACAAACCATGTTTTCCACAGGTCAACCATGTCTGGAGCTTGAGAGGCACCCAAGTTGAGTGTGCTATTTCCGCAGCAGACTGTATTAGGGAAGTGAGGAAATATATTGCAGGGAAGTGAAAGTGGACTTCACTGTACCTTTCTTACTTAACAGTCTTACTGAGC